TCACTTCTTCACTCTGTGCAGTTCTCTGAAATGCCACTTCCCCAGGATGACTTTTCCTGACCAACTGAGCTCACAAATCTCCCTTCCGTGACTTTACGTTTCCTTATGGCCTTTATCCCCAGCTGACACATTCAGTTCTCCACTGTTGGTCTCCCCAACTAGGAGGTAAGCTGCTTTATTCCCTGCTGTGTCCCCAGGGCCTTGAACTATATGCTCAATAAATTATTGTGAATGAATGTTGGTGAGTTTGTTCCCTTTATCATGACTATTCTCTGTCAGTTTATTTATGGTGACTGAAGTAGAAAATAAGAATTTGTGATAAAAGGCAAGGGCTAGCCAGCAGACAGGTGGATTAAAAAGGCTTCATCCTTTTATCCATGGAAAAATTATAGAGAGAACGTAATGGATAAAAAGGAACAATTATTATTTATAGTTATTGAGCGCTCCATGTGCTGGGCCCTCTGCTGGAGACACAACATTATTTTACTTAATCATCTCCACAATCCTTATTTTACAGTGGAGAAACTGAGACCAGAAAAGGTAAGTAACTTACCCAAGGTCACACAGCCAGTACCTCGCATGGACCAGATTTGAGCCCTATCAGCCTTCCAAGCCTATTGTGCGTTTCCTACCACAACGTACTGCCTTCATCACTCAATTTGAAACCTAGTCTAAGGGTCTGAAAGCAAAAACCTGCTTTTCCACTCCCCAACAACACAACATAAAGACACACAAGGTTATTCACTGCAGTACTATTTATCATTGAAAAATACTGAAAATAGCCTAAGTGCCCACTCATAGGAATGCTCTGAAGTTTGTCAAAAGGAATGAGGAAGCTGTCTGTGTACAGATAGAGAATGTTTTTCAGGATTTATTGTCGTGTGAAAAAAAGCCAAGTGCAAAAGAGAATCTACAGTATGCTACCCTTCGTGTCAGACAGAAAGGGAAATAAGAAAATGTTCATGGAGCTGCCTATTTTTGCAAAAGGAAACACAAGAAGAAAAAAGTGGAACTACTGAGTTTGGATTTCTATAAAGGGTGGGTGGCAACGGAGGTTGGGGGAGAGTCTGGCTGCTTCTCTGAGTGCGCTGTTTTGTAGCATTCTGCCATGTTAATGTTTTACACATTCAAATACAAAAATCAACAAGGATTAGGGTGGGGGAAACCCTAAAATGGAATGCAAACCAAAACGTGTGAACCTCACTGTGTATCACATGAACAGAACCACCACACTAAAGGGAGGAAAACAGAACTAATCCACATAACTTTGAGCACAACACCTCCATCAGAGGCACTCAGGCCAAAGACACAAAGAACTGCTTTCTACTTGGAAGGAGTCCTTCTTCCCAGCAGTATGGGACAGGCATTCTGGTCCTGCTTTCTCTATCTTGTAGGACTGAATAAGTGAATAAATGTAATAAGAATAAAGGGAGTCAAATTTCTCAGTGTTAGAGAGGGAATTTACAAATATGGAAAAAAAGATTAGACTGAACTCTGTGATGCTGGATTGAAATCGTTAGCTAGGTGAAAATAGAGATAGAGATGTATAGAGATGCAGATAGACACAGACCAAGAAGTAGACGCTGAGATATCCGTACCTGTATGTGCATATATATATATAAATATATATACACATGTATATATATTTGCATTTCTACAGACAGGTGTATACGTGGGTATATTTCCCAGCTCTGTCCACTGTGGAGGCCTAATAGCACCCTACTAGCAATGAAACCACTTAGTACTCAGATCCTGGTTTCTAAAAACCATTCCCCTCTAAAAGGAATCAAGCCCCCTTGGAGAAATGGCCATTTCCGGGAATGCGGCAGGGAAAGGACTAGGTGAGTCCAGGACTCCTTAGTGTGCCTATAAACAAGCAGGTGCTAAAATATGATGGGGGATGTAACAAAGGTTCACTACAGCCAGCCTGAGGAGGCACCCAGTGGCCAATCTGGAACAATTTGGGCATCAAAATAATGACTGTAACAGGATATCCATGGAATAAAGCAAATTCATACTGTTATAAATAGATAAATGAATGAACAAGTGAGAAAGAAAAGAAAGCTCTTGTTACAGTAGAATGCTAGCTAATAAATGTAGAAGGCATGATGGAGTTATAAAACGACCATTTGCAACCACTGTGGCAATCATTGCAAGGAACCTTCAGTGGATGCTGAAAGTAGTGAGTTAAAGTTAGACGAGGAACAGGAAGTCTATGTCATCTCAAAGTGACTCCCCACTCAGTACTCATTAATTTCAAAGAAAAATCGTAACTTTAGGGTACAGAAACTTTAACCAACATCATCAGTACTGGGAGAAAGCAGCATCACGGCACTGAGAAGGACACACCACTTATGAGCAATTCCTGCCCAAAATGCAGAACCTATTCAGAGACATCAAAATCATTAAACAGAGGGGAAAGGAGAGGCACTTCAACCCCTGATGGAGAGAGACCAAAGTCATTGGGCAATATCTTACAACATGGGATCCAGGAAGAAGAAAAGAAAATTGTAGAAGACACTGTTGGGACAATTAACAAAATTTGACTATGGATTAGGGCTGAGATAACAGCATTGTTTCAATATTGAACTTCCTGATTTGGAGAAAGCTACTACAGTTGTGTAAGAGAAAGTCTTAGTCCTTAAGAAATGCACACTAAACTATACATAGATTTTTTTTAATTAAAAAAAAATACCTGGCCTTCTTCCGGAGCAACTTCTGAGACTCGGGGTAATGCACCAAAATTTCATTCAAGTCCTTCTTATCCAGAATGAAGAGGTTGGTAAACCCGTGGGCCACCACGTTAGCCGTGCGCCGGTTCCCGCCCCCAACAGCCAGCAAGCTGGGGCAGAGAGGGAGGGAGGTGAGACCCTTCAGAGGCTACAGTTTGGATCACACTAATATCTTCATTTCCAACCCCCGGCCTGGAGCACAATGATGGCCTCACGCAGGTGAGAGCTGGGCCCACCTGCACGTGTCAGCAGGTACGGGGCCGCATCCACAGCAGTTTCTCCCAAAGGGCCCTAGAGGATGTGGTCCTACCCACTGGCCACCCCCTTCCCCCAGCCGTTGACCAAGTCCCCTCATTTCACCCCGCTCTGACCTTATTTCTCCAAACACAGATCCAGCTTTCAGCGTCACCAGCACAGCCTTCCCATCTGGGCCACCCAAGACCTGCACCTGCCCCGCCTGGATGATGTACATCTCCCGGCCTATCTCCCCCTGAAACAGAGAAGGGGGGAGTCCCTCTGTCATCATACAAAGGCGACCCAAAGCAGTGGGGCTGGGGCCGGAGGCTGGTGGTACAGCACGGAGGAACCCAGGCTGGGGTTCAGCCCTGACAACAACTTTGGTGTATAGTGTGGGGACAGTCACTTCCCCTCTGGGGCCTTAATCTCTCCATCTGTGGATTGGGAAGATGGCCTGCCTGCCTGACAGCATTACAGTGGGGAGTGAGTGGTGTGATGGAGAGAAAAGCGCTAGACAAGGAAGTGCAGGTGTGATGCTATTTGGCAAATTCTCAATTATGTGCAGGGATGGAGAGCCAGAGGTACGAAAGGCTCACAGTGGTTCATACAATAAGCTGACAACTATGCCTCCCCCATATCTGCCCAGCGCTGTTCTAAGTGCTTTGCATGACTGAGCCTGCTTAATCCCTAACAGCCCTCTGAGGTAGGGACTCTTTGCCCAAATTTACAAAGCTAGGCCAAGGCAGAGCTGGGATTTAAATCCAGGGGGTCTAGTTCCAGAGTTCATGGTTGTTACGAGTTGAATTGTGCCCCACTCCTCCAAATTCATGTGTTGGAGTCCTAACCCCCAGTTCCTCAGAGTGTGACTGTATTTGGAGATAGGGTCATTGCAGATGTAATTAGCTAAGTGAAGATGACGTCATACTGGAGTTGAGTGAGCCCCTAATCCAGTATGACTGGTGTCCTTATAAACGGGACATTTGGGGACAGAGACAGCCATAGAGGGAAGACAGTGTGAAGACACAGGAAGAAGACAGTTATCTACAAGCCAAGGAGAGAAGCCTGGAGCAGATCCTTCTCTCGCTGTCTCAGAAGGAACCTCCCCCTCCGACACCTTGATCTTGGACTTTTGCCCTCCAGAACTGTCAGATGATACACTTCTGTTGTTTAAGCCATTCCATTCATGGTACTTTTGCACGGCCGCTCTAGTAGACTGATACAAGGGTCTTAAGCCCAAATTAAACCAAATGAATGAATGCGTGAAGGAATAGCTTGCTTCTGACTACAATCAGAAATACTGGGTCTGCCACGCACTGTCCAATCCTCGTGCCGTCACGGGCTGTGCCCTGGCCTGCTACCTCACACTTGGACCATTTAAAGGGAGAGAGACCAAGGACAGGTAAGTGGCTTACACTTTTGATTTAATTTGACCAATGTTTCCTGGGCATCTCACACATGCATGGCCTTCTTAACAAAAAGGAAGGAAGTTTTGTTTCCCTGTTTCAGTGTCTGGTTTGACACAGGGCCAAAGAGTGAGGGGTGGAAAGAACTCACCCTCATCTCATTAACCTGCCCAGGGTAGTTCAGGGAGGGCCTTGGGGGGTGTGTCAGCAAGACTGTCACAGAGCAAAACCTGACAGCAGAGGGCGCCATTCACACATGTTCACCAAATGCTCCCTGCAGCTCCCACGGCAAACTCCCCAACAATCTGATTCACTTTCCCTCCTGGGAATTAAAGTCTACGTTACCCTCGAGGATGACAGCAACGGCAATGGCACCAGCTCTGTGCCAGCCACAGCACCAGACTTTGAAGGCACACCTTTTTTCAATTCTCACAACCACCTCATGAGGGAAGTACCATCAATATCCCTACTTTACCCATGAGGAGAGCCAGACTCAGAGATGGCAAGCCACTTCCCCAAGGCTGCACAGCTAAGAAGTAGCTCCAATGTCAGACAAATCACTCTCTGGCTCCCAAACCTCTCTTGGCCTCTAAGGCTGAAGCTTTAAGTTCTCAGCCACCTGCACCATCCTTGTCCTCCTCCCCACAGCTTTCGGCTTCCAGAAACTTCACCGCTGCACAGCATACAACTTGGAGATGGGGGCCTCCTTGGGTTGAAGGTACCTAAGTCTTACAAGAGGTTCTTGAGCAATATTTTCACCCCTGCACACACACCTCGCCTTACTAACAGCTCTGAAATCTGGTTCCTGCTCCCCGACCCCGATCACTCACTCACCGAGTGACCTTGGTCTCACCTTGAATCCCAAAGAATGGGAGCACAAAGGGCCTTACACACTGTCTGGCCCTGGGATTCAAACCAAAATGTTTCCCATAATCAGGTGGGTGATATAAAGGAGAGAAAGGAGCCTGTGGGGCAGTGGAGGGTGGTGGGGCCTGTGGCATCAGGAGACACCTTCAGCCAGCCCCTTCACCATTCCAGCTTACTCTTGCTATTTAGGAAAGTGGGACTCAATGCTAGCAGATTTTCTGTTTTCAGCTAGAAATCTGGATTTTTATGTGACACCTTCCAAGTTTTAAAGGTTGGAGACTAATTCAACATTTTTTTTTTTTGGAGTAGATTAAAAAAAAAACACTCTTAAAACGTCTGTGGACTGATCCTATGTAAGGGCCATCACTTTGCAACTTCTGACCTATCCCACCCCTTCTTCAGCCCCATTTTCCTGGTAGGAAGACCAAGACCCTGGAAGCAATTCCATCTACATAGTCAAGACCCTGCCCCTCTTTAGGTTCCTCACTTTCTTTTTCTGTAAAGTGGCGTTCCTCACCCTAGCTCCCATGTTCCCATGAAGAGGGAGCCAAGCCAGAGGCACATCTGAGTTCAGTGCCCGGAGCTGGACAAAGCCTCCTTGGGCCAAACAATCCGGGAGCCCCGGGGTCAGCTCACTGTGCTCCTCCCGCTGGCAGTCCTGCTCCCCCCGGGCTTGTAAGCCTCACTGGCCTGCAAAGGTACCCCCTCCAGCCCGGCTCCCAGCAGGCAGGGGTCTGTGAATCCCTGACCATGCTGCGACTGCCCCGGGTCTCTCACCTTCTTACACACGTAGTCGTTGGGCAGGTAGACGACCGAGCGGAGCCTCTTCAGCATGTCGAAGATCATCTGCCGGTCGCAGCCCTGGCCCCGAGAGGAGGGGAAAGGAGCTGTTTAGAGGAAGGCGTGGGTTCGGGGCCTCCCAGAGTCCCGAGCGTGGGGCCCCTGGATCGGTCGTACCTGGAAGAGCGCCACTTTGCTGACGATGTCATAGTTCACGTCGATGGCGAGGTCCAGCCGCATCTTGTCTGGAAGCTGCACCATCAGCTCTGACTCATCTGCAAACAAGAGCCTGGTGAGGGGCAGAGACATGGCCAGGTCCCTCCCTCACACCCAAAGGGCTGAGCCCACACTGCTCTGGCTGGGCCCGTGGCACACCATTTCTCTACCATTCAGAACCATTCTAGGTTGGGAGGGTACCCTCTCTACCTCCAGGCCTTTGCCAATGCCATTCCCTCTGCTGGGAACAACCCCGTTCACTCATTCTTCAGAACCCAGCACTCATGTCACCTCCTCCAGGAAGCCTTCCCTTGACATCCTTCTACCCAGCTATTATGTTATCAGTCCTTGTGCCATAGCACTTATAATGCCTTTTACTGCAATTGTTTGCCAATGGTCTGTCTTCTCCACTCACGTCATAAGAAGAACATTAGCAAGAACTAAAGTATGTGGAGCATTTACTGTACCAGGCACTGTTTTACAGAATGTTTCACCAAAGTGATTTTATTAAATCCTCCCAGCAGCCCAAGAGGCGCCCCACTACTATAACCTACTTTACAGACAGAGGAAGGGAGGCTTGGGAGGGCAGTGACTTGCCCAGCGCCACACAGCCCAGGGGATGGAATCAGGACCCCAGCCAGGTCATGTGGTCCAGAGCCTATCCTGGGAGAGCAGTATGTCTGCCCACCATGGGGTCTACAGTGCGCAACAGAGAGCTGGTAACTGGAGACAGGAGATGCCCCTCCAAGCCCTAATGCTGTTCCCCACCCACTGCACCACCATTAGTTTAGGGCTCAAGTGCTGGGTCTGTGCAACCCTGGGCAGGTCAGAGCCCTCTCCGATCCTTAATATGTGACCTTGTGAAAGGGGGCAATGATAGTGATGTCACAAGGCTGTCACTGGAATGAAATAAGACAGTGGAAGTGAACATGCCTTGGAAACTATTGTCATGTGCATTGTCCACAGACTTGCCAACATCCCCAGCTCAGGAGAACTTGGGCCTGAAGTGTAACTTCTTTGAGACCAGAATGAATCCCACAAATGCAGCGTTGGGGGGGGGCTTTCATTTTGCTGAGGGCCTTGGGGGACTCTAGGTCACACTGCCAGAGGCCTACAAGCTTTTCAGAGGCCTCCAAAAGGATGTCAAGGCTCTGAAAGCAAAATTACTAGCTCCTAAAGATAAAAAAAGGAAACATTAAAAAAAAAAGTCAATTAACATATAATTAGCATATTCGAATTTCACTAAGGATTCCATTTAGAATCCATGAAAATATCACTACATTTGGAAACAATTTACAGGTAAGATTCTTACAATTTGAGCATACCTCATCATTGACATGAAAGCAGAAACAACACTGAATGAAAATGCATTGTTTTAGCCAATTTTGGAAGCAAAGTATAACATCAAAAATCTACAAAATATATATGATATGTATGGATGTATATGAAGAAAAAAGGAGACAGAGACAGGAAGTCTTCCTTTCCTCCTGACTTCAATTGTACTTCCATCTTCAAATGGAGATGCATTTCAAGACGGGGCAGGGCATTCAGGAGACAAGCCCCTCAGGTCTTCAGGGGTCTCCTGATGGCCCAGCATGGGGCACTCCAAAGTCCTCCCTAGGCCCTTCTCACTTAAATGTTGGTGCCGCAGCCAAGAGAGGCCCCAGTGCTCACAGCCTCAGGGACACAGGACGAGGGCAGGGTCCAGGAAGGCAGGGCGCTGGGTGGGGGCAGCTGGTGGCAGCAGGAGGCCGGGGAAGTGGGGTGGGGGCAGTCTTACCCAGTATGCCTTGGGAGTGCCAGGTGTACTCGTACCAGGTCTTGACACGGTTCTGCACGGACCTGGGGATCTTGTAGAAGTTCATGTACTTGACTGTGCTGTCCATACAGCTGCGGTAGTAGGTCTGTCCCGCGGTGGCGGCCCCCACCACGTCTCTCATCTGGCGGCAAGGAGGGGTGGTCAAGGAAGCCACTGGGTCAGAGTGGGGCCCTGAACGGGCTTTGGGGACATGTGTCATGGGCAGTTTCTTAACATGGACCAGGGTGCATGCTTGCAGCGGTGGGTGGGGGTGGTGGAGAGCAGGAGACGGGGAATCCCAGGTCCACACCAAAGGTGTAGCCAACAGGGGAAGTTCTGCCTCCAGTGTGGACATGGATGAGAGAGGCTACTGGCCCCTCAGGTGGCCTCAGGTCCCTGGGGCCACACAAGGTGGGAACCCGACTAGGCTGATTCGTACAATGTGGCCCCTCGGTGTCGAACCAGGTGTACTGCTCCTCAGACAGAGCTCCTCAAAGGTAACTCTGAGGACCCCTGATGGCCACCTCATGCACTGACTACAATATGAGCTACACCCCTCCGCACATAACACACATAACACACATAACACACACAGATTAGAATCTACCAGGGGTTTTTCTCCAAGTAAACAGTCCAAATCGTCAGCCTCTGCAGAAAGCCATTCATCCTAGCTCTCCAGATGTCCTGACATTTTAAATAGGAAGCAACCTCAGAGAGGAAATGGGACCTATCCCCCCATCACCACCCCTTCACCCAGCAGCTCCCAGAGCTCCAGGCTCCTGACTCTCAGTCCAGTGTTCTTTCCTGGGCTTAGTCTGAAAGGAACAGGCACAGATGGTGACTTTCTGGCAGCCAAGGGAGGGAGAGGGGACCTGCAGGCAGACTAGTGACCCAGCTACCTGTCCAATCATCACGGAGAAAGCGAAGACGCCCGTGAAATAGTTCAGACCCTGGAAGACAATTTCAAAGAGTGTCCTGGGGTCGGGCAGGCCGCCAATGGTGATGAGGGTCTTCACAGCCCAGTAGTAACAGCGAATGTAACTAGGGAGAGAAGAGGAAGGGAACTTCAGTCGTCACAGGCCCCACCCTGCATAGCCTGGGCAGCCTGGCTCGGAAAGATGCACGGTGTGCGAGAGAGAAAACACATCACAGCTCCTAAGTGCAAAACCCCACCTCTCCCACCGCCCACAGAGCCCTCTGCAGCTTGTAGAGCATGTTCACAGGTGCTGTCTGGCTTGGTCGAAGAGGGAGGGGTGGGCGATGGGGTCCTACCGTGTGGTAAGAGGCATAGGAAATGCCCCGAGCTTGTCTAATTATCACACAGCAGCAAGAGTCCCTCACACACCTGTCCACACCTTCAGACTGCCCTCCCAGGGGTGAGATCGGCAGGGCCTAAACCCAGGACACTCTCAGACGGCTTTCTTGTACTTCCTGTCCTCCTCCCAGCGCACAGGAGCTGTCCAGAGCCTGTCCTGGATCCAGTGTCCTGATATACCCATGGTTTCGGGGTCCCTGCCCAGCTGGGAAATGGAGAACATTATCCAGCTGGCCAGTCATCCGGTCCGAGAATGACCCCAGCCTGGTCCTCCCCTGGGCTCCGTTCACCAGCTCTTTATGCAGCAGCAGCCAGTTTAGAGCATGCGCTCTGGGGCCGGACTGCCTGGGCCCACACCCAGCCCTGCCACTTTCTAGCTCATAGACAACACCCATCTCGCCAAGCCTCAGTGTCCTTCCCCTGAGATGGGCATGACAACAGAACATCCTTCACCAGTGATCCTGAAGATGACACGAGGCACAAAAGAGCGCCTGGCACGCGGCGGGCTCTCAGTAAATGTCAGCTCTCAGAGCCTTCACTGCCGCTGGTGCCTGCAGTGGGGAACAACAGACCTGCCTGTGTCCCTAGGAAGTTCACTGTCTAGTGGGACAGGCAAGTCAGCGTGCAATGAGCACTGGGAGGTAGGGAAGCAGAGGTTATTATGGAGTTGGGCCTAGGAGGGAGGCTCTGCCTCTGACCAGCTGGGAGGCCTGGGGCGGGGCTCTGGGCCTCCGGATCCCTCATTACCACCTGGTACCTGGAAACAGAACAACGGGAGAAAGGCCTGCCCTGTCAAGCCCCCATCATACCGCTCCTGCCCACCAGAGGGCGGGTGAAGCAGCCTTTGTGGGAACTGAGCTGGGCACTGCCTGGGCACTAGGTGTGGGTGCCGCTGGGCCACCAACAGAAAGACCAGTGATATCCCAATAGCTCGGCTTTCCCCGAAACCCTTCCTGGCTGGAGAAGCTAGATGGCACATCTATGGGGCCTCCCGTGTCTTCCATGCCACTGGGTGTGTGGGGGCCCCTGCCTGCTGCCCAGACTAGGCAGAAGGAGAGCAAGACGAAGGAGCCAGGTATGAAGGAATTCAGGGCCTCAAGCCCCTGGCCCATGGCAGGCACTCAAGAAGTGGTCACTATTTTGAAAGTTATTATTAGCCACGACATTGACTTCTGGAGGAATCCTCCTTCACTGCTTATGCTTTGCCTATCTTGGGGTTTCCCAGAGAATCTCATTTGGAAAAGAGTAACACTGCCAGGGAAGTGTGCCCCTTCACTGAGGAGCAGCGAGAGCTCCCCAAGGCTCTGCAGAGGGAAGTCCCAGCCAGCCAGCCCCATCCTCCCCTGCCCTGCTTGCTAGTCCTCCCAGCCCTGCCTGTGATGGGTGCCAGGCGCAGCCCAAGACATAGGTTCTTAGCCTGTTGGGACACTAACCCCTTTGACAATCTAAGGAAAGCTAAGAAGCTTCTCCTTGGAAAAGCCAGCCTGCTCCCAAAATGTAGCCAACTTCAATGGAGGGTTGTGACCCCCTTAAATCTCTAGACCCCAGGTTAGGAACCCTTTTCCTGGTGTGCAGGCTTCCCCGTAAGAATGGCCAGAGCTAGGAAGTTGGGTCACTGACTCCTGTCCAGGCACGGGCTTATTATTGATGAGAAATCTGCATGTAATCCTATCTCCATCTTGTAGATGAGAAGACTGTCTCAGAAAGGGTGAGGGCCTTACCCAAGGTCACAGAGCAAGGTTTATTGAATAGCTTCTGTTCTTTTTGCATAGAAGGGGCTTTCAAGTCCTCTCTCCGTCCTCTTGTGAGGGGATGAATGAATGAGTGAATGAATAAGTAAATGAGTGAATGAAGGAATGGTCTGGCCAGGAGCAAGGCTGTGGATGGGTGCAGCCGAGGGAATAGTGAGCAGGGCCGGTGCTGATGCGGGAGTGCTGGGCCCTGACCCCATTCCGACACACTCCACCCCACGACTTATGTCAGGACTCCCCTCCTGCCTGCCTGGACTGCCCCGGACCCTGGGACTCTCTATTTAGGTGTAGCTCCCCCTCAGGCCACAGGCCCATCACAGAAGGTGACAGCTGATGGCACTGTGGCCGAGGTTGGGGCATCTGTAAGGAGAAGGGGATGTTTGGAACCAACAATCACTCTACAAAGAAGCCGCTGGAACACTAATGACCTGTTGTGTGGAAGGGGTCAAAGAGTTGACAGCTGGATCGAGAGCCTTTTGCATCACTAGTGGGCACAGCCCAGGGTGAGGCAGGTCCTACCCAAGGTGACTCGCTGACCCCTGGACTCTTCCTCTGCCTTTTTGCCACCAGAGCTGACCGAGTACCCACTATGGCCTGGCCCTGGACCAGGACTCAAATGCACGTAATCCTCGGTTACTTCTTCAAGGTGTGGGTCCCATGATCAACACCATCTGGCAGACAGGAAACTGAGGCTCAGAGAGGAGAAGTGACTTACCCACTGATAACAGGTGGCAGTGCTAGGAATCCCCCCCTGGACTCCTGTTTCTAAAGCCCGTGCTCTGAATCTCCAGGCTCATCCACGACCTTGACCCCATGTGCTTCTGTCTTCCCGCACTGTCCTCCATCCCCGTCATCACGCAAACCCTGACTTGGCCTTTTTGTTGTCCCAACAGACAGATCAGCATCCCCCTAATGGGTTTGTCCGTCTGCTTCCTGCCTGTCCTCCTGTCCATCCCTCCATCAGCCATCTTTGGGAGAGTCATCTTTCTGAGATTCCCCTGGGCTTTGAAAGGCAAGAGGTGAGAGTTTAAGTGGGTAGCTTTCAATAAGCATCCAAGCCTTAAAAATAAGGAGGTATATATGGGAACTCTCTGTACTTTCCAATCTACTTTTTTATAAGCCTAAAACTATCCTAAAAAAATAGTCTATTAATTAAAATAATCATTAAAAAAAAACTTCATAAAATGTTCATACCCTTGGCCCTGCCTTCCCTCTTTATGAATTTATTATGAGAAAACAGACCAGAGGACACAGATTCCTATACACAGATGCTCCTGCAATATTGTGTCATCCTGAAAAACTGGAGATACCTTAAGTGGCCACTGATAAGGAAATGGGTAAATAAATGGTGGGATCTCCTATAGGGGGGGCAGTGATATCATGGTTTTCAAAATTTTACTGATGGGAAAATATGCGCAATATTATTATTATTATTCTATTACCTTTTAGTAGCATTTTCCCCACACTTTTACATTTCTAAAATTGGGATAATTTTATAATCCATGTGTACATTTAGTATAATATTTCTTTTTTCCCAAAAAGCTGTATTGACTAAATCCTGTGTCATAAAATTAATTAACTGCATCTTAGAATCAAAGAAATATAGTAAAGCAGAGCGTATTCCTATCTTTCTGTTATAATCACTATATATATATATTTATATATCAAAGAAAAGTGAAAAAAAACTTCGGCTGGTTCCCCATTGCCTAGAGTAGCGCTATCCAATAAAAATGTGATGTGGTCCACATATGTAATTTAAAATTTCCAAGTAACCACACTTTCAAAAACAAAAGAAACAGGTGAAATTAATTTTAAAATGTATTTTAGTTAACCCCCAAATCAAAATTAATACCATATCAACATGTAACCAATACCTTGAAAGTTATCAGTGAGAAAGTTTACATGTTTTTTCCTGTCTTCCAAGTCCTGTGTGTTCTCGGCACTTACAGCGTATGCATCTCAGTGGCCCTTGCAGGTCAAGTACTGTAGCCGGGTGTGGCCAGTGGATGGTATCAGACAGCCCAGCTCTAGAAGGTGAGGCTGACTCCACCAGTGGGAAGCTGTTTGGCAACCTGGCCCCGCCTCCCTCTCCAGTTACTTCCACACATCCCACCCCCTCCAGCCACACAGGACTGTTCCCAGCTCCTTGACTCCACTGTTCTGCAACCTCGCACTATTCTTCATGCCGTTCCCTCCCCGAGAGGTTCTCTGCTCCTTCCCTCCACCCACCAAGGCCAAGATCAAACTTCACTTTTCAGAACTGACAGTCCCAAGCCCCCTCCCCAAACCCTTTACCAGGCAGGTGGTAGGGCAATTAAGACAGTGTCGCCACGCTGTCTGGGTTCAAATCCCAGCTCTCTCAACTTATGAACTCTGTGACATGGGGAACTCACTTCACATCTATCACCTCATTTGCAAAACGGGGATGATGTTGGTACCTGTCTTGCGTGGTTGATGGGAAGATTAAGTGAGTTACTATGTGAAGTGCTTAGAACAGGACTAGTCCATACAAGCTGTCCCCAGTGCTTGCTGTGGTTGTTATTATTATCATCACAATCATCATCGCTATCATCATCACCAACACGGCCCACAATGTACAGCAGCCCTCTGGATTGGCAAATAGATTTCACCTAGTTTGCCAGCTCCTCCACGGCTAACGATGCCCAGGGAGCTGTGTTGTTGAGCAGAATTCTCTGGCTTCCCCTGACTCGACCATGCCCATGGGATAGAGGACACACACATGTGGTCAACTGGCCAACTCTACTAGACCTTGGGATGCTGAAAGGATCTTTTTAGCAGGTCTTGTTCATGCTTGTGATCCCCCTCTGCTTGGCACATGACAGGTGCTCAGGAAATACTAGATCAGTGAGGTCATGGAGACGTGCACCTTGAGCCTTATTATATCAGTGATTCCTTGGGAGCAAGGTGGCCTCGGCAACGTGGCGGCAGTGGGGCTCCTTTCAGGGAGTCTTTGGGCCATGAATTATTATTAAGAGGAAGACTATGGCTCACCTGTTTCCCACGCCATCATAAACCCAGTGAGTAGAGCCGAGGCCCTCATAGGCCGATGCCCAGTAATACAGACATGAGTTCAAATGTAAACTGTAGAGCAAATAGGCTGTGGTCCTGATAACCCTGAAGAAGGAAAGAAAGGTATGAGCACAGCAGCAGAAAGAGTGATGGTGGCATCGCCCCCACGTGCCGGGACTGCAGGGACAAGCCAGTCTTCTCCTCCCCCAGTGCCCATCTCAGAGATCCCGCCGCTGGAGCCGCATGGCCCTGCCCAGCTGCCTGGTGGGATGGACACCTGGCCGATGGGAACCAGTGGCTGGACTGGGCCAACCAGCAGCTCTTTCGAGCCTGCACCAGTTAGAAATGGTGATGGTTAAACAAAAAGTTGTCTAGACTGGGGTCTGGAATTGGCACAGAGCTCCATGTGTAGACAGTTCTGGGGAAGTAGATGAGCTGGGGTGGGGAGAGGGGGTATGCATCCATGCAGAGGGGCAAAGAAGGGACAAAAGAATGCAGGGAAGCACTACTCCATGAGAGATGTAGAAAGGAGCCCTGTCCCTGAGCGTGGCCAGGCTGTCTTGTGTCCCAAGCTTGGACATCCGCAAGACAGTGACATCTGAAAGGCAGCCCACTGTGTCCTTACAGCCACCTCTCTGTGTCTGAGTGGTTGAGGGTCAGTTCCTTGAGCTGAGGCCAAATAGAGGCCCAGCTCCCTGGAAATGCAGAGGAGCCCTGATCAACCTGTGTGTACCCACCTCACAATTGGGGGAAACAGGACATTCCTGGTTCTCTAAAAAACAAACATCCCTTCACAGAGGGGCCAGGAAGAGGCCCAGCTTCCGGTGGGAGGCAGTGGCGAGGGGCCCCGCAGGGCCAGGAGAGCCCACAGGGGAGGCAGTGAGGGTAGAGTGCCTGCTCCATTCTCGCTGCAAATGTCCTGGGTCCTGTGTGTGTATGCATGTGTGTGTGCTTGCGTGCGGCCTTAGGGGTCTCACCTGTAAATGTAGGCTTTGCTGAGGACGGATTCCAGGCGGTTGTTAAACTCGAAGAAGGCCATGTACTGGGAGGAAGAAAAAGGTATCAGGAACCGCCTGGGGTGCTGTCCTCCCTTCCCACGGGTGGCCCATTCCCCTCGGGTGCCAGGACTGAGGGCTCTTTCTGCAGCCCCCTGGCAGGAGGGGGTTGGAGAGTGAACACTGAGAATCAGAGGTCCTTAGCACTTTAAGGAGTGAGAGTCAGAAACTCCATTTATGAATGTGATGGAAACCCTGGCCCCTCTTCCTTGGAAATTACATATAACCATGTTCTTACAGTTTGCATAGAGATTCAGGGGACTCCTAGACCTTCTGAATCCCACCATGAAACTTTTTGTGTACATGCATCCCAGGTTAAGGACCTGTTTTTCCATGTTTACTTATAAGGATAACAATTATATATAGAAACAGCATCCCTAACACTCCTCAATGATCTCCTCCAAAGGCTTATTTACGGTAATAATAAAAAGAAGAATAAAAAGTTTAAGAATGACTGCTCTTTACTGAGCACTTGTGTGACTGCACTTGATACATGTTATCTTAGTATCTATTCACACGTGAGGTGTATATTACCATTCTCCTTTTACAGAGAGGAAGCTGGCACTCAGGGAAGTTCAGAAACTTGCCCAAAACACACAGCTGATAAGTGACAGAGCCAGAGTTCAAACCCAGATCCACCTCAAAACTGCAAGCTCCTTCCATCACGCTACACTTGCCTCTCGATCTCTGCACATAGACTGTTTGACCTTTGAAGATGACACTGATGAAGATCCCCTGTGGGCCACACTAGCTGTTGCCCAGGTGTTCATTCTAATTTCCACCCTGAGTTTACACGGGATGAAGAAGGATCACAGACTTGGATCCCTACTTTGGACCTGAAGAGTTGCATCCTCTGAGTCCTGCTAACCTTTAGGTGTGTGAGTTACTCACCCTCGCTACCACTACAGGAATCAAGATCTGGATCCCACTCTTGCATTTGGGATAAAAACATGGGCTATGGACCCAACCTTCCTCACTCTAATGTTTGGCTCTAAAGCAACCAGACAGCGCCAGGAGGCTGGCATGTGTCAGACAAGACTGGTGCTGCTTCCAGTTTCCTTCTTCCTCTGGGAAGCCAGGAAGCTCGGAAGCAGCTTCTGTGTTCAGTTTCAGCAAGATGTGCTTTCTTCTCATCAGGGTACTTGCATTCTTGCAATTTGTCTCTGCCCTGTTTCTCTGGGTTATTAAAGTTATTGCTTTTGCCTCTTTTGTAAGTTCGCTCATTACCCCTTTGAGGAGGAGGCATCAGGCATCACATAAGGAGAAAGATGAATTTAATTGGTTTGCCAGAAAAATCCATTTAGGGGGATCCTGAGTGCTCTGACTAGCTGTCCGCTCTGGTTGCATTAAAGGACAGTTGCCAGGTCACCACTCTGCATTTTGTCATCCTTGTTGGGACACTGGCTCTGCCCCAGTGGCAGGAGGAATGGCTGCAGTGACACTGTAAGGACAACAACCAACGATGAAACACATTGGGCTGCACATTCAAATCCATCCTGGGTACTTCCTGGCTCCTATGGCCTTGGGCAAGCCACCCAAGCTTTCTAAGCCTCCATTTCCCCATCTTTTAGATGGAGACCATCACAAAGAAGAAATGCTGGTACTGACAATATTCACTTCATAGGGTTGAGGAAGAAGCACTAGTGAAGCCTCCAGAAGAATATCTAACACAGAGCACCATTAAGAAGCACTAACAATTGTAAGGAATTTCCCATCTCCCCTTGGGCCATGCCTCCCTGGTGCTGCTCAGGGCAGATGTGAAGATGCCAGTACTGGCGCAGAGCATGGAGGAGCCAAAGGCCTTGGATGGAGAAGCCCACTCGTCCTACCTTCAAACAGCGGGGCAAGCGCAGGAGGGGATTCACACCGAATTTCAAGTAGAGAAAGTCCAAGGGCAGGAGGCAGAGCATGTCCATCTGAAATGTCAGTGAGACACTACAGTGTGTAAAACAGGTAACCCCGGGGTTGTGGGATGGGGTGAGTGGTGGGGGTCTCCACCTTCAATGAAAAGGTGAGGTCAGAATGCCCCTGAAGGGGCTGAAACTAGGGCATGCCACCAACAAGCCCCTGTTTGGCTACCCGGCCCACGCCAGTCCTGGGGGAACCGGGTCACACTGGCCCCAAAGTACGCAAAGCCCCCAGAGACACCACCTTCCAAGGTCTCTGGCACACACCTTAAAGCGCTGAGATTTCAGGTAATTGTTGCGCATCTCCTTTTTGTCCGTCTGTAATAAAATGGAATAATGACAGTGAAGTGGCCTAAGAGCTTAACCCCTGACCCCGCTGGAGCAGCAAGGGAAACCTCCACAGAATCTCCACCTTCCTGTCAAAGCAACAGCCCCATGGCCAAGGAGCCGAATGGACTAGCGGAACTTCGGTGAAAGCCTCCCAGCCTGCAGGTGGGTCTGCAGGTGGGCCTGCAGGTGGGGAGGTTGAGCTCAGGGCTGCAGGGAGTCGTCCAAGGCCACCCAGCTCAATTCTGACTTCTTGGATGGAAAGCGAGGATACAGAGCTATTCTCTCAGCACACTGGTCTCACCTGGACCATTTTCAACCTTATCCACTGAGGAGCTAGCTACTGCTCTGATCAGACCAGGAAAGAGGCTACCCAGGGAATTCTCTTTTCTCTGGATTTTTTTAGAGGCATAACCTCAACTTGTCTGCACACAGTGGAGCAGGTTCTGCCAGTGTGGAATTTTGAAAAGTGGCCTGCCTAGGGAGATGGGGACCCTGTCAAGTCAGTCAGGACTTCAGTTTCCTCCCTGGTAAGCAGGGCCTGCATCAGAGCACAGGGTCCCAAACTGGGCCAAGTAGCATGCTTTTTGCAGGACCGTCAGGAAATGTCAATTGCCAGAAGTTACCTGTGCTGAGTGCTCTGCATATGTCACTTCCATTGATCCTCACAGCAATGGTATGAGGTGGGAGTGATTATTATCCCCATTTTACAGATGAGGAAACTGAGGCTCTGAGAGGAGATACAGCTAATTCTGGTAGGGCCCAGATTTGAACCAGTTCTGTTTGCTCTAAAGGGCATTCTCTGGACCACTTCTTCATCTCTAATTCCATCAGGTGGTCCAGGAACCATTTCGCCCACAAGCAATATTTGATGTGTGTAGTTTGAATGTATCAAAGATGTGTGAAATAAGCCACCATGCTGTTGAATAACCATGGGCCGGCATTCCTGAGATTTCCTTGCTCATTTCTCTTCCTCTCCATCACAGCATTGAGGGTCAGCCCCACAAAGGCACTGGCTGCAGGGTCAGCCCCCAGCCACCCCCTTCACCTGCCTGTGACTCACAATGACGTCCCCGCCTCGGACAAACTGCAGGCGCAACTGGAACACAGTGATGTCCAGGAGGTAGATGAGGTCGCACAGGTAATCCATCAGCAGCCAGAGGTGGATGTTGTCCGGCGTCTGGTAGGGGAAGGCCCAGCGCACGGGAATCAGCCAACAGTTCCAGTTCCAGGCCAGCACCACGAAGAACAGCCACAGGATGTACATCAGGTCTGGGGGCAGGGAGGGGGCAAGAATGTGCTAGAAAGTCAGCCTGAGGGATTGGGGTGGGGCTTTCTTCCTTCCACTTGTCTGTCTGCACTTTCCTACAGGCAGTGTATGTGGCCCTTCTGTAACTTGGGAGAGAGGGTATGCAAAACTATCTTTGATATAGAAATAAATCCTGGCTGGGCCCTAATAAACCAAGTACCCTGAGGAAGGCATATGGGGTCATTATTAGTTAATAAACAGCTAAATAGAAAACCCTTTTGCTCTTATTCTTGTTGAAATTTTCCAAAGATGTGTTTCCTGCTTTTGTAAATTTGTAATAGTAGATAATGCATAGAAAGATGGACAGATGCATACAGGGGCATGGATAGATGGAGAGTGGAGGTCACCTGGGCATTTTTTTAAAGGACTAGTGGACACCAGGGTTGGAGTCCTGCCCCCTAAATGACTTCTTGTGTAACCTTGGAAAGTCCCTCTCTGGCACCTGTTCTGTCCTCAGAGAAGTCACAAGGAGATGTCAGGTAAAAAAAGGCAGGGAGATCCTTTGTAAACTGTAAAGTGCTGTGCACACAAGAAGGGTTGTTATTTCTGAAAAAATATAAAATGGGCTAAGAGGCAAGTGAGAAGGAATTCCCTTCAGTTGTTGGAAGAAATTTTCCCCTTTTCTGCTCAGAGCAGCAGCTCTGGGGAGGAACCAGCAAGAGCAGAGTGGAAAAAAAAGTCTTGAATAAGGGTCAGGAGTCCTGGGTCTGCCACCAACTAGTTGTGTCGTTAGGCCAGTTAACTTCTCTGTGCCTTAGTTTCCTTGTCTGTAAGATGGGTATGATCTTATGCTCCTAGTCCAGGGACTTCTTGGTTGTTTCTGGCCCCACTCTTGTGCTGTGCCCACCCCCCACTCCTGCCCTCTCACGTTATGTGGTGGCAACGCCCACTGCCCACACAGGACTCACTGGTCAGCGGGTCGATGCTCTGGGGAAACCGGTACTTCTTCCAGGGGCGGCGTTTGAACTTGCAGCAGAGCATGTCGCAGTAGTGCTCCTCCTCCACCTGCCCTGCTTCAGCGGGCTTCACGTCCGGAGCTGGCTCTGGGGCTTTTTTAGCTGGGGCTATGGGATGACACCAGTGACCATCAGACCCAACCCTGAGGCTCAGGTAGAAGATGCAAAGAGAAGGCTCTGGAACTGGAGCTGAGGGGACCCTGGTGCCATCCCACAACCTCCTGCAAACTCTGTGTGCTCTCCTTGCTGCAAAACCCACAGGTCCTCTTTAATAGTGAACTGGGCACCTGCCCCAAACACCTTCCCCAGCTATCTGTCTGGGACCAACTCTCAGGAGCTGTCTGAAGCGAGGTGTTTCTGGGCAAGTTGAGTATCTGCTTGTGTGTCTGCGCCTGGGCTCGCTCGGTTCCCTCTAGAGGTCTAGGGGCATTTCATACCCAGGACTTCCACTTCCACCACCCAGGGCCAGGAATTAGGGAGACACTGCTCTAGGTTTTTCAGAGCAGGAATCTCAGCTCCTTCATCTCTAAAATAAGACACCAAATGGGATCCCAGCCTTCCTGTGCATCTAGGTGATGTTGCTATTAACCTAGCGATTGGTTCTTAGAGATTCAACATGGCTACGTTTCTAGCTTTAAGACTGTGAAGTCAGGCTCTGGTAGGTCCATTGCTCGCACTGTAAGTTCTAAAGCACAAACCTCCTTTGGGAAGACCAAGGAATCCCCCCTGGCAAGAGAATATGGTATTTATTTCCTCTTGGCACCTTGAAAGCAGGAAGCTTTCAGTAGGCCCATAAGAATACTGCAACTGAGGCCTCTGGAAAATAAGGCTGTATCGTTCTAGAGTGGGTTATGGACACCATCCGAGTGTAAGACCCTGAGGTACATCCCAGGGTGGAGCGAGCACCGGCTTGTCAGGGGGAAAGGGGCAGAGGGTCAACGAGGGAACTTGCCCTGGGGGAGGGAGTGGCTCATTGGTCAGAACTTTGACCTTCTTCCTTCCCCTGGACACAAGCTAAACCTATGCACAGGGGACACAAAACTCCAAAGAGTGGGGATTTGGGCTTCTCTCAAGCACCCCAGTCGTTTCCTTGGGACTACCCTCCCCACGAGTTGATAGGGGCTCGAGGAGCCCAGCTCCACCCCTGGCAGGTGGGCCACCCCCAGCTCTGGGCTCACAGGGCTTGGGGCTCTCCTCGTCGGAGGTGACGTCAGGGTCGATGAGCTTCTCCTTCACCTTCTCCGTTCGCTCCTTGAAAAGCTTCACCAGTTCCTGGAGCCGGTCATTGATGATGGCGCTGTTCTGGCTGGCCGTGGAGGCCGCACGGTCCTGGTCACTGCAGACACACCACCCAGGGCTGAGCAGGCTGCGTGGGAAGGGACCCCTGTGCCCCCGGGCAAGAACTGGCTCTGTATCCCATCTGGCCTGAAGGGGTAAATCCTGCCCCAGTTTCATTCTGACATCAGAAACATCAAATCTACTTTAATATCTGCTTGGAGGAAGCACAGTCTGGGAATAATGCCCAGGTGCCCAACTTTCAGAAAACATGCCATGCAGGCTCTGATTCAGATGAGCAGTTCTAAAAAAACTTGGTTTCTGCTTGTGATTTGGGAGGAAACTCTTGGAACTCATTTCAGGGCTGTCAGCCCCGGTCTGGGGTTCACATGAGACACAGGACAGATCAGAGAGGAGACAGGGCTATGTATACCCTTCAGGAAAACATCTCCCACTGGCCCAGCCCTTGGAACAGTTAGACACCAGAGACTCAGATCCCAATGCCCTCGCAGTGGCCTCTAAACATTGTTCCACAGACCAGCTGCATCAGAATCACCTGGCAAGCTTATAAAGATGAGGATTTTCCAGGGCCCACTCTTTGTGGTTCTGGGCACGGCTGGACCCAGAGTCTGAGCCCATCCTGCAGATCAGATTTTGCAGAACTCCCGGGCCAGCCAGAAGCAACCTGGGCAGGAGACCCAGCCCTGTCTTACTGCTCGGAAGCCACTGGCACAGTCTGCCTTGGGGTGGAGGGCTCTAAAAACATGCGTGCTCCCTCAACTTACCTCCCTTTGCTCACCCAGCCTCACCCAGGCTTCTGACTCCCTGAGACCCCAGAGGGAGCGCCCACTTACTCAGTGCCCTGTGGGCTGGTAGGGTCCGACCAGGCGACCACAGGGGATACAGCTGGTGACAGCACCCTGAGCTCTTCAGCCTCATCATCTTGGGAGGGCAGCCTCTTCCTGCAAGGACACAGGCTTGGAGGGGGCCTTCAGGGAGGTAGGGGGTGAACCAGCTCTGAGTCCTGCAGATTACCCAGAGGGAATCCTGGGTGGGAGGTGGGGGCAGAGGATGGTGCTGCCAAAGGGTCCTCGCTTGCCTGCAGGGAACCAAAAAGGGAGAAGAGGAGGCACACCCACCCTCTGGACCTCAGTCTCTGCATTGTTCCATGGCCTAGCATAAAAGTGACGTCACTGACTAGGTATCAGGGAAACCGGAGTTTGCACCCCAGCCCTGCCTCTTCCCAATGTGTGACCTTGGCAAGTTACTTAAACTCTCTGAGCCACTTCAGTTTCCCCATCTGTAAAATGGGACTAAATCCACCCAACTCAATGAGGTACTTACTCAATTGGGTCTCAGTTTAAACATCCGTCTCCCTTTCTCCAAGTCCATCCCACCTCCTTCTCTATCACACCACCCTTCCAGCCACCAAGGAAGCGCTGAGGACCCACATCCCATCTTGCTAACTCTCCTGGAAGATCAGCTTCCCTCCCTTCACAAATGTGCCCCTGCTTGGAAAAGTTTACACCCATGGGTCATGGAGTCTGGTCTCCACCTCATGGTGTGAGCTGGGGCAAGACCCATCTCCCCCTGGAGTTCCCACTTTCCTATCTGAGAACGAAGGCTAAATTATCCCTAGGGTTCCTGTCATTCAGTCCAAGCCTGCCACAGGGTATGGCATTTGGAACCACTCAGTGGTGTTTCAGCTGATGGCATGTAGGTCTGAACTTGCCAGATACTCTTCCCATCCTCAACCACCATGACTCAGGATTCCACCATTAGGGCTTCTAGAAGGATCCAGTCAGAGATGCACAGCATTTACTTTATTCTAGAAGGCTTTGAAACTATTCTATTACCTCTGCCAAATCGCCTAGGATGGCAAAACTCATGGGGTCGCCTCTTTCACACTCTAATTAAAAGGTCGACCACACACGAGAAGACTGGGGCAAAAGTCTCACAGCTGGGACTTCAACGCAGCCCTCCTGCACCCAGCCCGGTGCCCCCTCTGGGCTTGGGGAGCACATGCTGCCCCCAGGGAACCCCGAGTGTGGAACTAAATCAGCAGCTGTGCCCCCGCAGCACCGCCCGGTACCTGGCCCTGTGCTAAGCACCTCACATACGGTCCCTTGTTGAATTTTCACAATCCTAGTAGACAGGATGGTGGTGTTTTATCCTCATCTTACAGTGGGAAAATGGAGGCCTAGGAAGATTAAATAGCTTGCCTTAAGCCTCACATCTGGTTAGTGGTGAGTTGGGATTCACTCCAAGCCACGGCCTCATGCCTCGAGAGGGGGTTTGCCTGCATGCCCCTTTGTCAGGGCCTGCGGTTTTGGTGGCTTTTCTGTTCCCATCAGTTGCCCCCAGTGCTCATTCCTGACCACAGGCAGCCCCACTGGCCTCTCATGTCAGGCTTCAGGATTCCTTCCTGGGGCCAAGCTCAGGCAGAGGCTTCCCCAGTTTCTCACAGTCACATTCTACTTTTCATGCTCTGGAATAGTCTTGTTGGACCACTTGTTCATTGTCCACCTCAGCCGCACTAGAGTGTCAGCTCCATGAGGGCAGGCCCCTGTCAGGTTTCTCCTTGATGCACCCACAGCGCCTAGAGCAGAGCCTGGCGCAAAAGATGTTCAATAAATGTTTGCAAATGAATAAATGAATGAATGAATGATAATCAGAGGAGCCCCACAGGCCCAGCTCATAAGCAAAAGGCAGGAGGCCTGGATTCTAGTCCCAAATGACCTTAGTTCCCTTGCTGCTTCCAAATATCCACTTCTAACCCCGCCTGCACAGTTTCCCCACCTTTATAAAGGGACCAGAGGGAGGGAGACCAGATATCTGCAACCATTATGGTGCCATTTCTTCTGCTGTCTGTACTCTGTGTGTGATTCAATGAAGTAAACATGAGGACTGATGGGTTTGGGAGCTGTGTTCCAAGGCTGGGTGAGATTATGACTCTTTTCTCCACATTAAAATCAGGGAGCCTTCTGTTTACTACATCCAGTCATCTCTGTTCTGACAGGCTCTTGTCCTCAGCTGAGAAATTACTCAAGGGCTCATGGATGAGAGCAAAAATTAATCAAGAAAGCAGAACCTTCTCTCAATCTAGCCGGCACAGGAGAAGCACTGGCAGATCTCCTTTAGCTGAAATAGTCATTCACAAAATACTGCACCGCACTTCCCAGTCTGCCTTTAGCTCTATGCAGGACCTCTCTCAGTTACCTGGCTCAGATTGTCCAACACCAGCTCGAACCACGCAGCAACAAACTTATCTCAAGAGGCACAAAAATACATGCAACCCTGACCAGGAATCCCACAATTGAGAAAGGAGCCCGAGGACAGAGAGCAGAAGACCAAAGAGGTGTTCACAGCACCATTACGGACAATGTTCAACAAGAGGAGGTCTGTTATGTCCATCCTGGCACATGGAGCTGGGGGACGTCACACAGCCATCACAATGAGCTTTAAGGAGACAGCCTAGCAATATGGAAAAGGGCTCACTGGATAAGATGTGGTCTCAAAAATGAGACGTGATCCAGTCACTCCAATTAAAACGACACCAAAGTCTGGGCCCACAAACAAGGTACAGAAGAGAAGGCAGAAGAATAAAACCACCACCGAGAGTGGTGGGATTAGGGATGAGTATTATTCTGCTGCTCTTTGGTATTTACATTTATTGCTTAACAATAAAATAAGGGGGTGGAATTTAGCCCTGTGACATTTATTACCCACTTCTAACGTACAATTGAGGGTATTCAGGCCAGGACTTCCTTGGAGAGCTCTTTCTAGAGCCTGAAGCCAGGAATTAGAACCAAGAAGGATGGGGCCATAGTCCCAGTGCCAACAGTGACTCCCTGAGTGACCTCGGGTCAGCTTCTCCCCCGCTCTGGCCTCAGTGTCCTCATCTGCTAAATGCACAGGTGGCACTGTGCTGTGAAAAGCCCAAGAGAAGCATAAAAGGTGACCTGAGGCTCCCTGTGGCCGATCCTGGGACCACGAGGGTGTCGGATATGGCAGGAGAAGGGGGCGGCAGCACGGGTGAGGGTGGGTTCTCCTCGGCGATGAGGGGGCAGCTGTCAGCATCAGCATCCTCCACCTGAACTTCTGGGTGCTCCTCCGTGGCGGGCACTTGGGGACAAGAAGAAGGGCACAGAGTCAGAGAAAGAAAAGCTAGGTCTCCAGGCCTTGCTGTGTTCTTCAAGGGGGCCACGGAAAGCAGGCGTGGAGGGGCCTTTGGCAGCCTCACTTCCCAGCAGGGCCCATGGAGGAGCTCCATGCAGGCGGTGCAACCAGGCGGAGTCCCGGGCCCTCTGAGGGCCACGCCCACTCCAGCCAATACCCTAGGAACCACAAAAGAAGCCATGACACCACAGAAGCCACAGGAGCTTCCGGACATAGGCTGGAGCCCAGCTCTCCAAAGCCCAGCCTGGTTTCCCTGAGTCCGGAGAAGCACTGAGGCCCTGGGCTAGGGGTGGGGGTGGCAGCACTCAGAAAGGACATGAGGTGCTTAGGGTTGGGGGCTGAGTCCTAGGGCTTGGCCTGGAGCAGCTGCTTCTCCTCTCTGGGCTTCAGTTTTCCCAGGCCAAGACAGGGGCAACGATGCTTTCCCAGGCCTGTAGGGGGCATTAGGCAGGAGGGCACATGTCCTCACATTCTTGAGGTATCTCAAATGCAGACATTCAGAAGATTCTTCCAATCAAGGACAACAAAATGTCTTTGTACTTTGTGTTACCCCCATTTGGGTACCTGTTTGGTATTCCCTTATTTTTGTACATGCCAAGAGCCCCCCAAATTCATCAACTAGTCCCTCTCTTGATCTCCAAGAAGCCTTGCACCATGTCCCACATCCTGAAAATCAAGTCTTCCCTGGGAGCCTGGGTGCAGTCCTACCTTAGGCTTCATTACCCACCCAGGGACTCTGGGGACAGGTCTGCCCTGCCCGAGGCAGAGCTCAGAGGATGTCAGGGAGCTGGGATGGTGCCCCCAACTCCCTACCATGCCTGGTCTGGGCCACCCAATAGCAGCCAGGCACAGGCCTGAGCACCAGATAGGCCCCAGCACACCCCCAAAATGGATATGGAAACACTTGGATATGTGATCATTTTTAATGGCCACCGTGGGAAAAGCTAGCACTTTATAACGTTTGGTGGACGAAATGTTAGCAGAACTCAAGACTCTGGGGCACTTGTAATAAGCCCGAACCCCTCAGGGGAAGAGGATGAGCAGGAAATGAGGAGCTTTAAAATTTTTAAGGGAGAAGTTTTGCCAGGCTAACCAGAGATGCCCCAGGCTGCACAAGGCAGACGAGAGCCATGGGGTAGAGGGGACTGCCCCCTGTTTCCTGGTAGACCTCTGTAGACGTGAGCTGGAGGTGGGACGGGGGCGCAGAGGCAGTCAGCATGAGGGTAGAGCCTCAAAAATGCTCAGGGGCTCAGGGCCCCTGGGTGCCCCAGCATGGCCCACACACAACAGAAAGCACCCTGGCCTTAGCATCCATGAGGCCATCCCAGGGAGCCTGGGAGGGAATAGATGGTCCCCCCACCACCTGCCTCGCCTGCATCAGACCCTCCAAACTGGTCGCTCCCAGGGGAGGGGGGAACCTCCCAAGCCTGGTGTTTCATTTCCTGTCAGCTTGACAGAGTAGGAACTCAAAATAGAAATTCTATTGGTTTATATTATACTGATTTATAGAATAAGAATACTATGATTAAGAACATAAAGAATAATACATGCTTAAATTGGTTCTGAGCATAATAGTATTTACTGTTAAGCATTTCCTATGTGCTGTCCAGGAATTTGTTTTACTGAACTCTGTTTTTATACATAAACCCTTTCATCATTCCCGGCCACTCCACGAAGTCGCTGTTATCACTGTACCCATTCTGTGGAGAAGGAAACTGAAGCACAGAGAGGTTAAGAAACTTGCTGCAGAGCCAGGATTTGGACCCAGGCAGCCTGACTCCAGAGCTTAAACTCTTATTCCATCCTGAGGTTGGTGACTAGCAACGCCAGTGGAGTGGGAATAACGTCCTCACTGCAAGCTGACATTGCCTTGTCTGCAGTATCTAAAGTCATCGTGTGTCATACTGCAGCCGGTTCAGCCCACTGTCCCCAGTGTGTTGCTGGGGCTACTTCTCAAAGTGTGGGGGCTCCCAGGGACCAGGAAGGGCGCATGAGGATTTTAGATGGCACAGCCAAGGCAAAGGCTGACATAGAATGAGACCATCCCCCCTTTCCCGTTCTCTCTAGATCTTGAGTGTGCAGAGAGGGAGTCTCAGGCTAGCGCTGCTACCGCCTTAACCCCCCTTAGCAGGCCGCATCCCTCACTAGAAAATATCACAATGACCTTGTTCTCCAGGTCTTTGAAGTTAATTCTATTTACATCCTCTATTTATGGCAGGCCAGGCTGGGTTTCCACTGTAATTATAATGTAAAGCTTCCTGTTTAAACACACTTAACTAAATGAAAAAGTGAATCCATTGAAAGAAAAACAGTAATCAAGTGAACGTAGAATTGGTACAAAATATGCAAAAATCAAGGAGTGCTACGTGGCGGGGGTTATGGGGATGTGGGGGACTCTTCAGGGTGAGTAGATTTAGGGTTTGCCTGGAAGACTGAGCCTGGAGCATCATCCCTTGTCTTGGGGATGATCACATTCCATCTTACCCCCACTCTGTGCCCACCCGAGCTGAGCAAGGGTGGACTCCATCCCATGAAATGTTCAGCTTGACCTGTCCGTTGATCTCAGAGGCAACCTTGCTCAGTATCATCCAAAAACAAACAAACAAACAAATTAAATGGAAAGTGGGCAGGTCTGGTTTGAGCCAAGGCATAAAGTGACAGGAGTTAACCCAGAGGCACTAGCATGTCCCCGAGCACTTTGTCATCAGGCAGCAAGCAGCAGGAGCCTGAAAGCCACTGCCGGGACCTTGTCACAATTAAACAGATCCAGACAGGCTCTCTTGCTACACTGGCCCCTGAGGATGCCTCTCCTCTGGAGTTGCCTGTCGGCACCTGGGGGCCTCTCCTTTTCTGAGATGGAATTTGGGGGGCAGATATCAAGTCCTCAGAAAGTCCAGCTCCCAGCAAACTCTCAAGGCCAGTAGATTCTGTCTACAATGGACACTCACATTCCTCTTCTGGTCCATTCCCCTCTGATTACTCTGTTCCCCAACCCAGCTCCCTGCCTCAAGCCTCTTGCCCTGGAGATTGGAGTGGCTTGTTTAAACTAGGGTGTGAGTGACTATCTGTATAAAAATGATGATTGACAGAAAGCCATGTTTAACCCAAAGAAATGAATTGCTATTGTGGAATTTTAGGCACAGAGAGAAGGGAATTAATATCCCTCAAATCTCCACAAAGCAAAATGAAGGCATTGATCAGCAGAGGAAGAAGGGGATTTTCCATGAGCCTGTGAACGAAAAATACTGCAAACCATATCAGTAAACAAAGCATGGTGAAACCATCAAGTCATCAGTGGCTGCCGCCATCCCCCAGTGAAGACAAGCCTGCAGCCCAGCCTCTGCAGCCACTCACAACAGTGTACTCTGAGGGGATTCAAAATAAGAAACGACAGGGCACTGGCCCTAGATAGCGTAAGTGCTTGTCAAAGGAATGAATTCATGAGCCCAAATGTTTCCTTCCTCCCATACATAGAAAAGCACTAAATTCTTTCACTTGAAATGCCTGGTTTTCTTTAGACAACAAGAAATCTTTTATTGTTCCAACTACCTGGTCTTTGTTGTAAAGCTCCTGTATATCCTAGCTCCTCCCCTACCTCTTTGGAGCAGTCCCTCAGAGCGATCTGAGAGGCTGTCATCCCGGCTCCAGTCCTCCCGCCAAATAAAACATAACTCTCAACTTTTAGGCTGCGCATTTATTTCAGTCGACAAGCCCAACTAGTGGTCCACACCAAGACCATGGCATCTACACAAGAAACAGCCCAAGCCATGCAGAAGCACATGTCACAGGCACAAGCATGCTGGGTGGGCGATTTCACGCTACCTAGGAGACGAATGGAGCTCCTGGTCTCCTTGGCGAAGCTGGAGTTGGACAAGGCTGTCCTCCGGGAGATGAGGACAGGGATGCGGGTGATTGGAGGGCGGTAGCTGGGCACATTGGGGAGATGCTCCACCAGGTTTGAGGGGGCGAGTTTGGGGGCCACATGGCCAGGCTGCTGTTCCTGGACCAGGCGATTTAGCTCCATATCCCGGCCTGGTTTAGCCATGGTGCTGGGGCCAGGGGGTCTCAGGCAGAGGCAGGACCCTGGGGACTGCAATGAGGAACACAGAGATGGGAGAGGCAGGGTAGGTGGCGCTCTTCCCCGCCAGCACCAACACAGACCAACTCAGTGCCCACCTGCGCTTGGAGCAGGTGCACCCAAAGTCTGCAGCATCACTCTTGTCCCTGAAGTTCAGTGCCCAGAGCATCACCAGTCATGCGGCTGGTCTGCCTAACAGCTCTGAGAGACAGCCCCGAGCCCCCCAGTATTGTGCTCTCTCTGCTAATCAACCACCGTAGCATTTCCTACCCCAGACTCAAAAAAGTTAGAATCAAAGAACCCAGAACTCCTCAGGTTTTTAGGATCACAGACTTAAGACTTGAACATTCTTAGTCCAGTAGGATTTTCCACCCCAAAGAAATCCTGGAACTCAATTAATTTCACTTCCAACCAGAAGCAATACATTTTCTAGGTCCCTTGTTCCCCAAATGGACTGCAAACTGGAATCACCTGGGAAGGTTGGAAATGTCTGATGCCCAGGCACACCCCCAGAGATTCTGATTTAATGGTCTGGGGTGAGGACTGGCACCAGGATTTTAAAAATCTTCCCAGATGATTTCAATGTGCAGTCATGATTAAGAACAAGGGCTCAAGGCTATTGCTTCTCAAACACAAATGTGCAGAGAAATCACCAGGGATTTTGTTTTAATGCAGATTCTGGTTCAACAGGTCTGGGGTGGGGCCTGGGATTCTGAATGTCTAACTAGCTCCCAGATGACACCAAAGCTTCTGGTTAGAGATCCACACTTTTGAGTAGCAGCAGATAGATGGCTGTGCCTCAGTGTTCTCAAAGTGTGGTTCCCAGGCCACTTGCTTCCAAATGACCTGAGGAAGGGGGTGGAACCAGTGCCCCGGAGCCCAGGTCTGCACCCAGGTGATCCTGGTCTTGCTCATCTATGGAGGGTGCAGACTTTGTAGGTTTCTGGCAGATTTGGGTTAAAGTTAACAGAGGATGCTTTTCAAAGACCAGGTGGGGAGTAGGCTCAGGACACCTGGAGTTAAGACACCTGGGTCCACATAAGATATCGCTTATTGTGGAATCTAAAAAAAAAGGACACAAATGAACTTATCTACAAAACAGAAACAGACTCACAGACATAGAGAACAAACTTATGGTTATCAGGGGGTAAAGGGAGCGGGAAGGGATAAAGTGGGGATTTGAAATGTGCACCTCTTGGGGAGTGATGGAAATGTTGGCTGTCTTGATTGTGGCAGTGGTTTCACTGGTGTGTACATCTAACAAAATTCACCAAATTGCACATCTGAAGTATGTGTAGTGTACAGTACAGGAATCATACCACAATAAAGATGTTTTAAAAAAAAAAGGCACCTGGGTCCAGGTCCATCTCCATCAATGGCTGGCAGAAACACAAGCATCATGATCCCTACTATGGTCTTCTGCAGTGCCAGCCACAGTGCTGGGTGCCTTTGATGTAATGTCACCCCTAGTCTGCCCAGCAACCCCGTGAGGTAGGTACTGTTACTGTCCCCTTTTTCTTGATTTGGGAGCCTCAGTTAAGAGAGGTCACAGAACTGTCTCCACGTCACATAGCAAAGAAGAAAGAGAAGCTAGGAGTGAAACGCAGGTCTCTACCCTTGACTGCTGAACCAAATGCTGCCCACACGGAGCCTCAGTTTTCTCATCTATAAAATGGACTGTCAGTCCCACAGGGCAGCTGGAGCACCAGTGCCTTAAGGATTGTTGAGGTTTCTAAGGCCAGGGCTCGGTGTCCAGCCATCCTCGATTCCCCTAGACTCTGTTCCCACTATCCCTGGAGTTCTCAGGATTGGGGGTAAGGGGGGTGATAAAGTGCTTGTGCTGGAGATCTTAGCAGGAAAAAAAAAGTTTATCAAAAGACACAGTATCTAGGACACATAGCTAGCAAGCTTTGGCCCCAGTTTTCACATAGACAATGTTATGTTTGTGCTAAACCCTCACTGGGTGGTAGCCCAGAGAGCTGTGTCCCCAGTAAGGTGGTGGCAGGAGGGGTTGGCTGGGAATAGTTTCCCCAGGCCTGCTGGGTTCCTAGGGACCTCAGCACAGTTCCCCGGGGTCTCTGAAATACATCAGGCTCTGATAATGTGGCCCCAAGACACAGAGAATGGGTTTTGCCTCAGGGTAGGGTGAGTGGCTGGGGGTGGGCAGTGGAGAGTGGGGAGATGAGGAGGTGGGGGGAGGGTTTGCCCCTGTGCCCAGGCTGCCCCGAGCCTGAAAGCATCCTGGACATTCTTATGCAACCCCACCCCCACTACACACTTACCTCCTGAGCTGGCAGCCACCACCTCCTCCTGCTGCTCCTGAAGCTCCTGCAAAAGAGAAAAGAGAAAACTGAAGGTGTGACCATCGAGTCCCCTCCTAGCCCTAGTCCAGTCCAGCCTTCGTTGGGAGATCTGCCTTCAGGAGTCTTCATGGGCCCTAAGTCTGTTCCTTGCCCTGCCTGGCTGGTCACACCCTCCAGGCCACCTTCTGGGGCATCCAGTGCCCACAGGAGCCCCAGGTCCAACACCCAGACTTGTCACATATAATGAGGGGAAATTCTCGAGCAACCTTCTGCGTGTGGGGACCAAGTAACTGAAGCGGCCACGATGGTGTTCTCCACCCAGGCACCACATTTCACAGTGTACAGCTGTGCACAACACTCTGGGGAGGGGTTTTTAGCCCCATTTTACAAAGGGGGCCGCTGAGGCCCAGAGTGGGGAGGTTACTTGCCCAGGGTCACACAGCCATGTGAGGACCAAAGTCCAGGTTCACCTGCTCCCCACCCAAGGCCCTTTCTGACACTATCTGACCCCTGGTACAAGCAGGGCCTCACAGCATCCACTGTTCTGCTTCCCTCTGTCCAGTGGGCATCTCACTAGTCAAAACCTCCTTGTCAACAAAGCGGACAAGGCCCCAGCCCCTTTTGCCAACACCAGTCCAGGCCTCCGAGGTAGCCAGGGGGCCTGGCCTGGTGCTGTTTCATACCTGGTATGAGGCCCTCTGGTGCGGGGTTTCGTCTACTCCACTCTGGTCCTCGCCTTCCTGTGAGAACAGACAGCTATCCAGCAGGACACTGTGACTGCGAGGGGGCAGAGGAAAGGAGCGGGGTTAGGGGTGCTAAATGTTTCCCAAACTGTGCTGAATGCCAGTTGATGCCTAAGAATAGATCCTCACTCTCATGAAGCTCCCAAGACGGGGCAGGCAGCAGATCCCTAATAATCTCCCAGTCGGAGCCATGTGCTGTGAAGGGCATAGCCACAATTCTGCCCAGGAAGGAGGGATTCCCAGAGGAGGTGGCCTGTGATCTGGAAATAGGTGGGGATGGGTGCCCATGAAAGGGAAACAAATTTTCTTTCTCTTTACAAAGAAAATCATCGGGGATGGTTTTGAGGAACTGTCCTCTGGGAAGTGACCAGAGGGCACTGTATAGTGTTCAAAATATATTCCCAATATTTCCCCTCTGAGAGTCTCCAGGCAACCTTGGTGATGTAGGCAGAGTGGGAAGTGAGAAAAGTGAGGCCCAGAGAAGTCAACTGACCTGGCCAAAATCACACAGCAAAAAAAATCCCACATCACACAAACCTCAAACACAGGCCCTGGTTCTTTCCATGCCATGAGATCAGAGCCATGCTGCAACTGCTGATGCTTTCAGGGGTCCCTGGCCCAGGCAGAGGCATTCGTGAGTAATGGGGGCCAGGGGTGAGACTATAGGGAGCGGAGAAGACTATGGCAACTAAGAGAACCTGTGCCCTTCTGAATCAGTAACCCCACCCCGCTTGGAATGGGAGACCAGTGGCCAGATCTTCTGATTTTCAAGGGGACCCTGAACTACTCATTTTAAAGGTGGAATTTCCTCATCTTTAGATGCTGATTATTAATCCAAATTAATCTATATGAATATCTATATTAATATGCCAATATCCAAAAGAGCCTGTCTCCAGGCTAAATTAGGCCCTTAGAAGCTGTGTCATCTCTGGGTTAAAATGATGACTTGGGACCAAGGGCTAATGTGATTTTTGTGGTTAGAATTAGATCCTGCTTCCTAATGGCCTCACCCCACCCCACAGACCCCTGTCACCAAGGGGCTCACAGAGAATGCTCTTTGGCATCTGCTGCCCAGAAAACCTGGATTCCCCGTCCTCTACCCAGAGGGCCACTCCTCAGCCCTCCTGAGGTGGGTGAAGAGATGGGGACAGAATTGGGGTCCAGTCAGTTGGGATCCAGCAGCCTGGGAGCAGGAATCAGTTGGCAATCATATTGTCACTGCAGCTCCCAAGGGCTGTGTGCCAGGCACCGGGCCAAGTACTTTGCACACACAGTGTCCCACCAGATCCTCACCCAAATAACCCTGAGAGCCCAGCTGGGATTGATCTCATTTGAGCTTAGAAATCAGAGACTCAGAGAGGTCAGATGGGCTGCCCATGGTCACACAGCCTGTACAAGGTGAACCTGGATAAAAGATGGCTGTCGACCCTAGTGCTAAGTACTCAATACTCCATGCCTGCCCCTTAGTGTCTACACAGCCCTGGTGACACAGAGGAGTGAGGCAAGTATCTAGATGATTCAAACACCCAACTCACTTGATCTCTCTTCTTTGTATATGCATTTCCATTGTGAGAGACCTTAGTTATCAGGGTCATACTCTCCACCCTGCCCAGGAAGAAAATTTTCTTAAAGAAAACAGCATATCATGACTTTCATAGGGCCTGGGCACTTTCCTCTTCATGGGCCCCTTCCTCCATAAATGAATTTTAAAATTCCATTTTGTGGCTACATTTATAGGAAGATTAATATGCTAATATTATATATTAAAACATTCTCTTCCATCTAAAAGTTCACTTTAGAGTCTGACTTTAAAATAAATTAAAACGTTCTGTGGGCCTCTGAAAGTATTATGGGAGCTGTGTCTTCCTTGCCTGATGGAGAAGTCAGGCCCGCACAGAAGGGCTGGGTGGGCTTCTGCTGTGAGGGGCTGATGGAAATCTCTTTCCCCGAAACAGAGGCAGAGGCCTCCTTGGTCCTCAGAGCACGAAGGCCCAGGAAATGAACTTCCCACAGTCCAAGTTAGAGGCTTCCTGGGGTCTT